TGAGACAAACTCCCAATAGGAAGAAGTACATGGGGATGATGAGCTTCTCTTGCCTGCTTCTCGGAGCGGGTAGAAGAGGCTTCGATTTCGATTTGTCGGAAGCTCTCCAATACGCCTAAAAGACGACAAAGCCCATTTATCCCATCTACAGAGTGCCTAAACTGTTTGATCAAATATCCAGAGCCGGAAAAAGGGTCTCCGGCAATTTGAGGGATCAGAGGTTCCGGCGTAACCGTTTCATTGATGATAGCTCGTAGTTGCCTAGAAAATAAGTTTCATAAGTCTACCTTTGTATGAGTTTGAACATACTTGTCTGTTCCTCTTATTATTCGTATTTTGCTCACTATGCCACTGGGGCGAGTGAACGAGAGTGCTAGTGCACGATGTGCGCGAGCACGTTCGAGGCGTAAAAGCCTCCCTTCAAGTCGTAATGTAGCTTTAAGTAAAATATCCGCGTCTTCTTGAGACTTTTTAAAGAGTGAGTAATCGTGTATGTGGGCTATAAAGCGCTCTAACCTTTGCTTGTACAAACGCGGCCTTGTGACCAAATTTGTCATTGATTATCTTGACACTAACCGGGTCGATAGATTCAGAGATAAGTTTGAGCAGTTTATCCTGCAAGTCTTGAGGAGGGGCGACATGTGGTAGGCTAAGCGGAAGCAGGGTGTAAGTGGATGCTTATGTAATCATAATATTTTGGAGAAATTTAGACGCTCATGGCCGCCACATTCACCACCTTCGCCACAGGCGTTGGCGTGCTCGCCTAGGTAAACGGCTGCGAAGCTTCTTTCTCCGTTAGAGTGCAAGAATGTGCGCGAGAGTGGTGCGGCTTGTAGATAGTGGATAATGAAGAAGTTTTCCCAGGTCAGCCCAGTTGGAAGGCTGGGTGCTCCTCCAAGGGAGGGGCACAAACGCGAGATAAGGGAGTAAAAACGAGTGGTTTAGCAATAAAAGAGCTTTGGGATGGAAGTAATACGAAGAAATGGCACCGCAGAACAAGTTACTAGGTGGCAGCCATCCAGCCCAGCCCAAATTTCAGGCCACTCACCTCGCTACGAACACACTGGATCCGGGTGGGAACTTAGTACCATTGAAAAGTACAGACTGATTCTGAGTGACAACTGAGGCAACGGCTTGTGGACCTGGTGACTTCGATGTGCTGAGCCCGACAAGTGTAGGTGTCGATTCATGGCCGGTAGACTCTTGTAGCAGGGCGGAATAACGGTTCGTGGATACAGTCATGACTAGTTTTTAGATGCTTTTGGATCAGTACTGACGATGTAAGAGGTTAAGATGAG